CCCTAGCTTCTCCTGCTTTTCAGTTCCCCTTTCGTTCTTTTTCTTTCTCCCCTCTAGCTCTATTACCACCATGGCTGGCTATCGCCCATATCACCATTTCATTGGCTAGTGCCACGTGATTGTGAATAAATAAATAAATAAGTTAAGTGTAATCAAATTCGACCAAAGATTTCGAGTGAAGTAAGTGATATCGATGTGGCAACACTTGCGGTTTATGCAGGCGGGTGCACACAAGTTGTAGAAGCCATATGGTTGAAACCACACAGAGTTACATTTGCCTTACAGAATAATAAGCGTCAGAAACCAATAATGCTATACGACTGCCAGGTTGTCTTCTACCATCATAAAGTGTGATCAACAATGAATATTGTATCCTGCATGGCATGTGGGATACACTACTGGTACTGTAGTCATTTTTGATCACACAATCATTCTGATTATAAACTTTGCACTGTGTACCATTGTGTTTACTTGTACAGTGTGGTGTGGTGGCGTGGAAGTCGTTCAGACAAACAACGGGACAAAGCTCCACTCCACCAACATGGAATGTGATGTACAACAAGACACGCAGTGACACTGTGTTGAGGGTAACCTACACGTCAGCATTCGGCTCTTACCGTACTTCTGGCTGGAATTCATTCACTATCTCCATTCTCATCAACAACACAGAATGTCCCAATCCTGGTCCTATTAGAAGTGGTGTAAGCGGTTATGCGGTCAGCGGTGATGATCGCAGTGTGACTCCTGGCTCTATCAGTGGCATATGTAATATCAACACTGCTGGTCCACTCAAGCTATCCACCAAATTCACCCAGTTATCCAGTGGCGGTTACATGTACGATGGGTACAGTTGTCATGGTGGTAACCGACTGGTAGCCACTTTTCACGTTGAAGAACTGTGTAGTAACTAACGCATGTATTTCAATGACCCACTTCTACATCGTGGCATGTCAATAGGACACTTTCCAAGTAGGTTATTTTCCTTTCTCTTCATTCACTGCGTTCTATATCATTTCAATATCTGCAGGTACACTTTTGGCAGTTCAATGTGGAACATACTCAAACCATAGTTCTGTTGCACTTGGGTCGCATCCACGTTTTACCTATTTCCTATCTACACGTTTCGAACTCATTTCTGTTGTGCACTGCCGTGCTCACTTGCATCTCTCTTGCTTTTCATCCATGTGTTGGCATCACTTATTGCATATGTATAGTCGACGCAAAGTTGGTATTACACTCAGCAGGATTTGAGAACAATAGTGGTCCAAGAACTCAAAGCATTGGAATCTAATACTGTAACATACTTGTATAACTGTTATGGGCTATTCCATGATTGAGTGTTGACATTTCAGCCACTGGAGAAGTGTGGTACTACATAGAGAGTCAGGGTGCGTTCTTATATTCTCTAGCTTCCCGGAGAAGAAGAAAGGAGAAGTCGAAGAAACAGCTCTCGAACGTTTCCGAGAGTCTTTAACTTTTCCGAGAGGACTTAGGAACGCACCCTTAGAGAGCACATGTCATGACTGTACATGATTATACAATTGTTTTTACTAGAAAACACAGCCCTGATAATAATCAAGGGAAGAGGACAACTGAAATGACACTGGACAACAAGACAAAGGGGAGTAGGGGCGATAGTCCGATGTTGTTTGCGAGGCTCGTCCGACCGGAGGTCTCGGAATCATAGGCTACGACCAGGCATCAATAGGAATGTAGCTAGGCAGGGAGGAAGGTCAAAAGAGAAAGAAAGAAAAAGAGAGAGAGAGCCACGAGAAAGAGAAATAAAATAAAATAAAACAAGAAAGAAAGAGATGATGGACGAGGGTAGTTGCACATTGACGGGTGACAGCCTCACAGGGAGTCCGTAGCCCAGAGCCCATTATTTTGATGCAAGTGGTGATGGACATTCGTCTTTAAGGATTGGATTGGATTGGTTTATTTAACGTCGAATAACAAACAGGCAGTGTTGCCTTGTTAGATGAGATCGACTGAAGTTACAGGCACACAAATGCAAGGAAAAGATTTAAAGAAAAAGAAACATAGAGTAGGATTCAAGACAGCAGAGGAAAGATTGCATAATTATTTGATCAGTGAGCAACGTTAGTCAGTGAATTTTCGGGTGGGGTAAGAGAGCGGTCCGGAATTGACCTGTTTTCTTCAGTGATCGTATAGATGCAGGCAACTTATTCCAGAGAGTGGGACATTAATATGAAGGGCTGTGTGTGGCGGCGGCAGATATGATCCTCTGGAAAAGAAGCAGGGGAACATCTGTGCTCCTCGTTCGACGGGTGTGTGACAGAAGTGTAACGAGGTCATGAAGAAGCACACTACAGTCATTATGAATTACACGAAGGGTTAGCAGGAGGAGTTTGCGGCAATACATTGATTGCAGGGGTTGAATCCTGAGGCGTTCAAAAAAAGGGGCAGTTGCAGACAGGAATGGAGCAGAGCAGACAACACGCACAGCTCGCTTGAGAAGTTTCTCAAGACGATCAAGTTGTGCAGAGGAAAGGGAAGAGGAAAAGCTGTTGCATGCGTATTGGAATGTGGGTAAAATTATACATCTCAAGTAGGTTGAGCGGCATGGCATTGGGAGGCACTGCCTGTGGCGGAAGAGAATGGCAATCTTTGAGGACACTGTCTTGGCTGTATGGTCAACCATTGTGTTCCATTTCAGGGCGTCATCGATGTGCAAGGCCAGGTACTTGGCGCTTGTCACTTGCTGGAGGAGTGTAGCTAGTTCGGTTGGTGGGTACACTTATGCCAGATAGTGTTGGGCCTGTTGCCAACGGGCTCGGCTGCTTGAAGGTGTATTGTTGTACCTACCACCTTTGTTGGTTTCAGGGTTCATATACTTTCTATTTGAAGTATACATACCTGTTAACCATGGACTGCTTCTGGCTAGATTAACTCTTGTGTAATCAATGGTGCTAGTGAAGCTTATATCAGATCCACTCTGATTTAGCCACCCACACTAGTACCAAGTATTACCTTCACTGGGGGCAGGGGTACCTGCAGTTGGATCCCGGGACGGATACCCTGATGCCGTCAATCCTTTTTCTGCACCTTGTCCTCATCCACTTACTGAGGTGTGGTGAGCCCATAAGTGGGATCATTTCAAGTCCACCCTAGTTTGGGGATTTCAGGGGGTGTCGGCCGTTGGGTGGTTCAATGGCCAATTGAGTCATCTTTCCAAGATTCCTTTTGAGTCTCTCTCCCCTCTCCCGGGGAGACCCACGTGACCAGTTTTGGCAGTGAGCAAGTACAAGTACAAGTAGCTGCACAGTGCACATTCAATGTCTTGTCGTCATGACGATTGGCAGAAATAAACAATATTTGTGTTTTTTGACTATTCAAGATTAGGTTGTGCTCACCAAGCCAGTTGCTGAGATGGGTGATGGCTGAAGACAGGTTGTGTGACAGCACTACCTTGTCCTTCCTGCTATCGTGTAGCATGATGTCGTCCGCGAATTGGGTTACCTGGACGGCAAACTGATCCACTGGCCACATCCCTGACATATATTATGACAAACAATAGTGGTCCCAGTACAGACCCTTGGGGAACCCCACTTGAGCATGTGAAAGATGAGCTGCTATCGCCGCTGATGACGACTTGTTGCTGACGATTTGAAAGGTAGTCGCTTAACCAGTTCAGGGCTGTGCCGGAGATTCCAAGCTGGAATAGGTCTTCGACAAGTGTCTGATGCTGGACCTTGTCAAAGGCCTTTGACATGTCCAGGAAAGCAGCGCCAGTTGACAGCCCGTCATTTCGGGCTCTTAGGAATTTGTCTGTAACCATTGTGAGAGCATCTTCTGTAGAGTGCTGGCGTCTGAAGCCAAATTGACAGGAAGGGTAAAGATGATGTTCAGCCAGGTATTGACTGAGTTGCTCATGGAGGATACGCTCAAGCAGCTTGGAAACTATAGTGAGCAAAGAGACAGGTCTATAGTTGGTGGGTTGACTGGGGTCACCACCTTTGTAGACGGGAGTGATGTTGGCGATTTTCATGCTCGGTGGCAGCTGGCCTTCGGACAATGATTTGTTGAAGATGAGCATCAGTGAGGGTGCAAGAAGGTCAGCGCAGGATTTAAGAATTGTTCCTGGCAAGCCATCACTGCCAGTAGCTTTTGTCGTGGCTATTGACGATAGGAGCTTATGTCGTATCCGGACGGCCCGGGGTTGGACCCCAAGGCTGCGGTTCGACATGAACTAACTTATTAAACCTTCACATTACAAGGCCGTGCAGTGGTGGCCACTTGGAGAGAGTCCACCAACAGAATTACTCTTACGCACGCACGCACATATACCTAGACATACTATCACACACACACTCAGGCATATACAGACACGTACACTCACACCAGCGTTCAGGTTGACTCACATCTTCAACGGAGCTAACTAATAATTACTTAGTTCAAGAGACGATATGAGAGCACAAGGCAAGACAGACGAAAGCCGAAGTTTCCGCCTCCAGGCGGAAGGCAAGAGAGAGAGAAAAGGAAGGTGATAGCAATAGTATCTAGTTGCGGCCATGGAAGTCCATGGCCACGAGATTGCTGGTCCCGCATGCAATAGCGTATCAAACCGTAGTAAATATGTGTACAAACTGTTGCATAAAGAGCGGGAGACATGTGGGGAAATAACAGCGTATACCAAATAAGGAAGGCCCCAGGCCTTGTGTGAAGACATAAAATAAAGACGATTATGAACCCGTTTACGGGATATAGATAAATAATTAGACACCTAAATAAGGCATACTTGTCCCGTAGAGGCCTAAAAAGGCACGTGTCAATAGTATGGATACGACATATCCTCCCGCTTACACGGAAAAGAACACGTCCTCGTGTTATAAGTAACGTAATAAATATTAGACTAAGATCATGGCTAACAATTTAACTAAACGAGTGCAGGTCAAATTGAAGTTCTTATCAAAAAAAACTGTTCAAAGACTAGCTGTAATATTGGCCACAACCAATCCAGTCAATACCACTGAAGTCACTTACTCATGCCACACAGGACTCCCAAACAGCTGGGGCGGATGGCGGGAACGCGGGGTTCGCCTTTCCATCAGGCCAACTGGCGGAGCACTGTCAAATACCCGAGCGGTGTCCTCCTCGTCTCGGGCGGTGGCATCAGTGGTATCAGGCTGGTAGGACGGAGTCAAGGTGGATGCCATGGGCTGCGGTGGGTCCGACTCATCTTGCTCGTGGACCTCCTGCAGCAGACTCGGTCCATGATGGCAACTGTTCAGCCGGTTGACGTGCACTATCAGCCGATGTGCCGTGGGCTCTGACAGCTTGATGCGGTAGGTGACGGCTGAGAGCTTCTCCTCGACTAGGTACGGTCCGTGCCACAGTCTAGAAAACTTGGCGGTTGTACCCGTCGGAATAGCCGGCACCAGAAGCCACACTGCGTCCAGGCGTCGGCGGAGAGCACTCACAAATTCCGGCTGTGACGATACTGCGGATGCTTCTCCTGGCGGTAATCCAAATGCCAAGTCTTGAGGTAGGCATAACTCCCGACCAAAGAGTAGATAGCTTGGACTGTAGCCGGTACTAGTCTGCGGCGTCGAGCGGTATCCCATCAAGAAGGCTGGCAACTTGATGTCCCAATCTCGATGATTCCTGCAGACATAGTGCGCCAGGCCACGCTCAAGCGTCTGGTTGAATCTTTCAACCAGACCGTCACTCTGTGGATGGTACGCAGTTGTCCTGGTCTTATCTATGCCAAGCAGAAAGCAAACACTGCGAAACAAAGAGCCATCAAAATTTTTGCCCCGGTCGGTATGCAACCCATCAGGAGCACCAAAACGTGACACAAACTCATTGACAAACACTAAAGCAATAGTGGAAGCATCCATTCTCGGAAGCGGAAAAGCTTCCACCCATATAGTGAAATAGTCCACTACAACCAAAATATGGCGGTTCCCTTCCGCTGTCTCCGGTAAATTGGGGATCAAATCCATTGCTACTCGCTCAAAAGGATACCCCGTCCAGGAAGACTGTGGTGGAGCGCCAGACCCTCTGCCTACGGGACGTTTCAACTGGCTACAGGAAGAACAACTTGCAACCCAATCTAAGACATCTATCTTCATGCCTACCCAGTGAAATTGTTGCGTCAGTTTCTTCTGCAGGCGTGATGAGGGGTGTGGGGATGTTGCCAACGTCGTTGTTCACGGCCCCTACGAACAGCGTCGTCGGAGCGTCAGGGCGGCGTGACAGTGCATCAGCGTTAGCGTGTGATCGACCTGCCCTGTACAATATGGTGAACTCAAATTCAGACAAAAATTCCAGCTAGCGAGCCACAATCGCCGGTGGATTTTTGAAATTAGCCAAGTGTTCTAGAGAACGATGATCAGTACGAATCACAAATTGTTTACCAAGCAGGTAGCAACGAAAATGGCGCACAGCCCACACCAAACCCAACAATTCCTTTTTCGTGGATGCATACTGTGTTTCTGTATCGGCCAGAAGTCGACTAGCATACGCTATTGGCCGTTCCAGACCTTCCTGAACCTGAGACAGCACTGCTCCTAACCCTAGTCCACTAGCATCTACGTCTACCAGAAATGGTGACGCATCTTGCCCAAACCTGGGGTAAGCTAGTACTGGGGCGGTTGTCAACACTGTCTTCAGATTCAGGAAAGCGGATTCACAGTCAGGAGTGCACAAAAACACTTGGCCAGTTTTCTTCAGGCTGTACAAGGGGCGGGCAATGGTGGAAAAATCTTGGGCAAACCGCCTATAATACCCACAGAATCCCAAGAAACCACGCACTTCTCCAACTGCTTCAGGGGTAGGCCAGTTTCTGACTTTCTCGATCTTACCCGGGTCCGTCCTAACCCCTCCCGGGTAACAATGTGGCCAAGGAACTTCAACACTTGTGTGGAACAAGAAACACTTACTGGGCTTCAACCGCAGATCTGCCTTCAAGAGGCGGTCAAAGACCAACTATGTCACTTTAGATTTCAGTTTGAACACTCCATAATCCGAACCCACAGTACTGATTGAGGCGGGGGAGGTAGAGAAGCCCTTGTCCCGAAGAAATTGTCCAAGGAATGTGGGATAATACGTCCCGGCCAACAATACACTCACGCGGCAACCCCTTAACAATTCTTACCCGGTGCCAACAGGTTGCATCTCCGAGTTCCAACTGAACAATTGCTGACGCCACGGCTTCTAGTGGTTGCCCGTTGGGGCCAATCACTTCGGGCCTTGGTCAGAGGTTTCCTTTTCCAGCTCCTCAGGTAGGCGGTCGGCAAAATCCTCTGACAACAATGTAGCGGCGGATCCTGTATGGATCACAGCGTCCACTGGACATGCATTCACCGCTCCAGGCACCAACATGTCCGCACGCTCACTCGCATGTTCAATGAAGACAGAACACATAGATCAGGCTATTGTTTTCTGTAGTAGTCTAAGTTTTGCAGATACTGACTTCAACCCCAGGGTTCCACTTCCCGGGAAAATCTACAAAAGCAGATGCAAACTACCTCCCGTCTTTTGTTAATAATGACAACTCTCAGAGTAAGTACTCCGACAGACTGAGAACCCGCAGAAAAGGGCACTAGACTAGAGCCATTTCGTCGCTAAAGAGCGGTAATAGCATCAGCTACATCCCAGAGGCTAATTCATAGGTTTCTTCTGATAACTCGCAAGGCCTAGGGCTCAGCAATAATCAAGCAATAATCAGTCTGCAATCAGCCACATGCCCAGAGGTAGCAAGTGCTGCAAAATGCGTCAATTTGCAACAAATACAGACTGGTGTATTTTTTCAATTCTTCCTTACCGGCAATACAAGTTCAGGAGACCAGCGGTGGTCGCACTGTAGGGGCGTCGATTCCACTCCCACCGATGAGGCGGTAGAAACCCTACAGCTATGGCTTCAGGTACAATAGCTGCACGAGCATGAGCAGCTGCTGAACCATAAGGTCACAAACACAAAACTACAAAAAAAGGTTTACTCACATCTTCAACGGAGCTAGCTAATAATTACTTAGTTCAAGAGACGATATGAGAGCACAAGGCAAGACAGACGAAAGCCGAAGCTTCCGCCTCAAGGCGGAAGGCAAGAGAGAGAGAGAGAAGGAAGGTGATCGCAATAGTATCTAGTTGCGGCCATGGAAGTCCATGGCCACGAGATTGCTGGTCCCGCATGCAATAGCGTATCAAACCGTAGTAAATATGTGTACGAACTGTTGCATAAAGAGCGGGAGCCATGTGGAGAAATAACAGCGTATACCAAATAAGGAAGGCCCCAGGCCTTGTGTGAAGACATAAAATAAAGACGATTATGAACCCGTTTACGGGAGATAGATAAATAATTAGACACCTAAATAAGGCATACTTGTCCCGTAGAGGCCTAAAAAGGCACGTGTCAATAGTATGGATACGACACTTACGCACACGGGAAATGGTAACAGGCTTAAAGATTGAAAGGCTGTTATACCATGGTACAGTACGGAGGGCCTGTTTTCAGCCAATCAGCGCTCGTCTTGCCATGGTTATATTGGCCAGTATAAATCCCGCGCGGGATTTATATAGAATATAAATCCCGGTGCACAGTGCGTACGCTAGGGCACTGCCACCGTACTCCAGCGCACGGACCATACATAAACAGACACAACGGACACCACATGCGCGTGTACACTCCACACAGAACGGCACACTGACGAGGAACAGTACACAATGGAAAAGAAGAATGACCTGGAATTCGTCTACAGAGTATTCTGTTATACTGAATCTGAGGATAAAGAACGTCGAATAACCACGAAGTATCCCGAATGGGTCAGCAATGTACATTGTACTTCGAAGAGTTGAAGATCATCAACGGACCGTCTTCTTCGTAAATAAGTTTATATTACCAGTGTACATGCACTTCAACCCGATTGGAAAAAGGCTACAATAGATTGGATTGAAATGTGATACAAAACAGTGTATGCAAATGCATCTACTTGCAAGCAAAACTGATTATGAGATGCCGCATGTAAAAATCAGCACTGTACCATAATTATAGTAACACTTACTCCCAAAGAGTCCAAGCTGTAATCTAACTAGTGACGGTAGTTTGATTCAACGACAAACTCCAGCACCGCAGCAATTCAGTCGACTTCCGCACCGCTCACGACTCAAGACAAGATCATGAAGATGCTACAATATGCACTGGAACTGAAAGGAAATCTTATGCCAAACATCCACGAAGGAATCTCCTTCTGACCTTGCTCGACCATTCTTTCAATTGACAACTGATAACCATCAGAAGATGTTCATGTACTGCATGATGTAGGAGATCTCCAAATAGGTTCGTTGTTCTGGAAATGCGTAGGGGTACCTGGCATAAGTAGGATATGAACCTCGTAGTCGGGTTATACCGTACCCTCATATAAATCCCTCCTGCAATCGCAGTCGGGATTTATATTCAGCCGGTATAACCCTCTGACTCGGGTTATATCCTCTACTTCGGAGACATGGGGCCTTGATGTAGAGTCAAGGCTGGGGGACGTTGAGGATCATTGACAATGCCTGCAAACACATTACCTATGTCATCCGGGGAGCGTTTGGGAAGAGTGTGGACTGGCTGCCGTCCGCTCAGCTGATTCAATACACGCCAAGTCTGCCTTGGGTTCCCCGTAGCGTTCACAAATGCTTCATTGTAATGCTGTTCCTTCAGTGCTCGGCTAGTGCGAGTAACCTCCCGTCTGCTCTGCTCGAAGCTGCGGTAGTCCACATCAAGTCTGGTTCTCAGCCACTTACGATGCAGTTTGTTGCGCCTGCGTATACGCGCTGCGAGCTCCGGGATATACCATGGTGCGACATTGTGGGCACGGTGCTTCCGAGGCCGGAGTGGTGCATGTTGATCTACGAGTGACATGAGACACTCGTGCCACTGGGTCCACATTTCGGTACAGGTTCCCTCCATAGAGCACAGGTTAGCACACTGGATATCTTGCCGAAACAGGTCCATATTGATACGTCTGATGTTCCGTGTCTGTGCAGGAGCTGCAGGAGGAATTCGAATTGGAACCATGTTGAAAGGGGTTGTCACAGCATGGTGGTCGCTGAAGGAGATAGCATGAGTCGTAGCAGGAGAAGCACATCCCATTGTGCTATATATAAAGGATTGGAGAGACTTCAACTGGGGCATCGGTTCCGGAAACAGTCTTGCGTCAGCCTGCTCCATTCATCCACTACACCATATGGGAACGAACGCTGGAGAAAGTTGGGCCGTAGTGAGGAGCACTGTTTGTAGCTGATTCTGATGGCGGACACAGAGCTGCGACCTTGTCTGTGGGACGAGACTAGCTTCCTGGTGAGGCGGAACGAGCGCAGAGAGGTATGGATGGTCTTAAAGGCACATTAGCTTGTACATGTTCGGTAGAGCGTACACTTGGCGGTGGGCAGCTAGGCTCTGCAGCAAGGCGTCAGGACCGTGATAGCAAGGGCCTTCCGCTGTACTCGGTCGAGACAATGCAAGTGAGGGTTGGCTGCGCCCATCCATATTTTTAAACGCAACAAGTGATATGATTGTATGGAAAAGAAAACAAAAAGAAAAAGGCCCAACCCTGCCCTGCCAGTTATGTGGACTCACGGGGTCGCCATGGCAAGTAAGAACAATTATAATTCCAAATGTACAACTATTATGTACTTAGTGCAGTCATGTCAAAAACCGGCCTTAAGGCCTTCGATATCAGTTGTGCGTATTCGAGTACAGGGCGTACGAAGCCTCTGTACGTTGTCAAGCGTCCTTCACGACCAAGGAAACTTGATGCACGGCGCAGAAATCCTAGCCTTCAGCTCGTCCCCGCAGGGAATATCATGGGCTACGAATGTTAGGTCTGGGAGTGGCCAGGGGTTGCGGTGG